TTCTGAAAATATTAATTAAGTTACATTTTTTGCCTAAAACTTCAACACCCCGAGTCTTTGTAAGGAAACATTTTTGGACCATAGTTTATAAAGCAAACTAACATTAATTTTTTATGTAGATTCACACCCTTAAATTCGCATATCATTAAGGAACACCCTGTATAGTAAATAGAGAAATAGCTGTGACAAATTTGCTGCCACTCTCTATTTTAATTACATGTTTAGAAAATCAGAAAAAGTCAAATGAAGCCACTGATTAAAAATAGAAATTCGTGTTTTCTCTCATATCACAATCTTTTATATAATCGTCAATATCAATATGTATGTCATGTTTAATGGTCTAAATAGCGAAATTTGAGAGCCTCAACGTGGACATAGTCAATCTGAGATAATTCTTAATTAACTGAAGTTTAGCGAAGCTTCTCTCGCAATTTTGATTACTAATGGCAGATGTTAAAAAAAATCTCGATACAATGACAATGGCTGGTAAGCCATTTTTAAGCTTGAACTCAATAATGTAGTTTAATGAGCCCAGAGAGCTGAACTTAATGAGCACTTTCTTACAATGTGGTTCTATTACAGCTCCGAAAGCTGGTATACATACGTGTTCAATTTGGGATTTTTATTTATCAATGTCTCAAAAATTGAGTCAGTTCACGCACAATATCACTTCAGGCCTTAAAAATACATATTTTTGTGCTAAAATCTGCAGTTGTGAGAATCTTCCTCTAATTTCAGCAGTTACAGTCTACTGAAGGAAAGGTTATTATGTGCTGAGCGCACCATCAATGTATTCAGCTATAAAACATATTTTAAAAGCACTACAACATTAAACTATTCATTCTTGACAAAAGTATAATTTAATTACATTAACGTATCAATACCATATCTACAAACCAGTCGAACTAAACAAGTGCCTTACGTCATTCCCAGGTTGACATGTATGTATATAAGAATACGTATATCCTTAATTAATGCGTATCCTGTTTGTGTATTTTAAACACGCTTTATGCTATTTTGTTGTAAAAACTTAAAAATGGTCGAAGGTACCCTAATTTTGGTTAGACATGTTTAGTTTTAATTTTACACCTTAATTTTTTTAATTACAAATTTGATGTTTTTATCAAAATGTGCAGAAACTTTCCTATCTAAAACATTATGTATTTAATATCTCAATGTAATATGCTTCAATTCGATAAAAAATGCCGAAGAAATAAGAATCACACACCAGATGTACAAATAGGCCCAATATGAATGTATTGGTCGTGTCATCTAGCAATAAAAAGCGCAGTTCCTGTTATTAATTTCGTTTCGCAACAACTGTGAATAATTTCAGTGAAGTAGGCGCTATTTGGGGTATGAAACAGGATTTTTGATTTGTGGTTAAAAAAATTGCTGAACTTGCAGACCACTTCTGTATGTCGCCCGCAGACATGCACCCCCTCGTTTCGCCACTGGATGACGCTACGGTATCTCATCTTATCACAGATAATTTTTTGGACGCGGGAATATAGCGTTATGTTGGCTAACTTTTTAACTTTTTATAGAATACGTTGATAAATGACTTTACACAGTGGCTATACGTTACATAGACGCAGAGCTCGCTTCGGTGCAAAGATGGCTAATATTGAAATTTCAGACAGTGACACTACTATGCATTTTTAATACAGTTAGTATGAATCGCTTCATTTAGATGGCGCCTTAGACATGTGTACAAAGTTTAGTAGAAAGGTTAAATCCCTGGTGAAATGTCATTTCTGGCTGGGCTGTATAAAGTACCCGTATCATGTAAAATAATACTCGATATGATAGCGATCTGATCGCCACACATCTAACTTATATACTAGTTAGTCGATAGCCCATGCCAGACGTATTCGCTGTGAACGCCACCTAAGGAGGAATGCCACAACGAATAGGTCACCATTTTTTCCATCACAACCAAAATATGTTGATCAAGTGATACATCAAATACGGTTTTTTTCTGGTTCAAATTGAACTGAAATGTCCAATGTTTTGTGTTCGCTTTGACTGGTTTGAAAACAGTGTAAAATAAACTAATGCTCATTTCATGCTACAAAATGATAAGACTTCGTTTAAATGTCATTTAAATCCGAAAGCTGACAATGACAAACCCAGTGACGTACGTATACCGTTCAGGGGTTAGATCAGTTTTTAAAAAGGCTAAAAGTGATGGCTCGTTGTGATGAATGGTAGGGGTATTACGTAACTTGAAAAGTGACATGTCGTTTTCTACAGTATGTAGGCTTTTTATGACATTATGTAGGTTATCTAGTCAAAAAGTTGATATTTTATCGGTTTTTGACATTATTATAGGTTTTTACGTAAAAACCCTGTGGGACTATAGCTAGTCCCAAGGTGACAAGTATGGCAATTAGATTGATATCCCTGTTGCCGAGTTGTATAATATTTGTAGAAACATATTCTCCTCAATTCGGAGCAATGTTTAATAAAATACTATGAAGTCTTGCTGAAAGATTTAGAAGTTTGGGTGATACTGTATCCTGTAGCATGTTTTGCAGTGTAGGTATCGTACAATACAACTGCTTCAAAACAACTCCACAAAAGCATTTTTAATGTGTGCCACAATGTCTTGTACGCAATAATTAAGGTCAAGATCATCGTCGTGGAAATCTTGGGTTAAGAAAGAAAACTTCAAACTAATGAGGTTAGAAGTGGTATGTACGACTGAAATGCCCGAGAGCATAAAATTTGTAATCATGTAGAATGAACATAAAACACTGTACTCGGGAAACGTTTCTAAAAACAAACGTTTCAGCTGCCTTCTCGTGGTTTTATGTTTTGCTAACTCGGTCTTTAAACAAGCAGATTTTGATTTAAGGAATTGTTTTTGATGAAAAATTGTCATTCAAATACAAATTTTATATAGTTGTAGTTGTAGTAGTTCATAATTAAATATTGCATTGCATATTAAAATGTATGGCAAACATGTATAATGGTATATAATAAACATCTATTTTGAATAGCGACACATCTGTTTTTAAATGTATTACTTTAAAAGAAACAGAATCAGTGAAATATCTCGAAATATGATGAGAACTAAATGTTCGGACAGGTCAAGAAACATAATCATTAGAAATAAGCAGAGACTAGCAGGCTTTGCAAAAACACATGAGCGATTACCTGTGTCCCAATACTGAATGTCAACATCGTTGGAAATTGTAGGTATTTGAAAATCATATTTTCTTGTTGCTAAGTTACATTTATGCAACAATGGTACGAGGTGTAGCCACTCATCGGAAAGTGAGGCAAATTATTATTCAGCATTTTTGCAAAGAAAAGTCAATACGCGAAATATCAAGTGATCTACAGTTTCGGACATTGTAAAACAGTATAGGGAAACTGCAAGTACTGATAAAAGTCCAGGTCGACCGAGGATTGTAATTGAACGGAATTTCAGAGCTTTGGTCAAAATCTGCAAATCGGGTAGGCGAAACACTTTAAGGGAAATTACCACTCAGTGGAACACAAAGTGTGGGATGCAGCTTACACGAGAATGCTGTCGAAAATACATACGTAAATCTGGACTCAACTTTTATAAGGTATGCATCATAAAATTATTATTCCAAAGCAATGAAAAAATGTTTTTTCCTTAATTAGGCTAAAGAAAAACCGCTTCTAACTGAAGTCTAAAAACGAAGACGCTTAATTTGGGCAAAATTAAAGCGCTCTTGGACGTACGAACACCTGAGCAAGGTCATATTTAGTGACGAAGCCAGATTCGATGTATACGTAGGCGTACACCCAAAAAGGGTTATGAGAAGCAAAACTGAAACCCTTTCACAAAGACTGTATTACGTATAGTAAAAGTTTCCAAAGGTATTATGCTGTGTGCCTGCAACTGTAATGGGACGTCTTCATTTTATTTATATAACGTATAATATTTTTCCTCTATTGGCCTGCTAGTAGGCCTGATTTAAATGTGATAGAGATGGTCTGGCATAAAATGAAACAACATTTGAGAAATCATTATCAGAAAACAACTCCTGATTTGCGTGTGAAATTGCAAGACATTTGGAATACAATTACACAGGAAAACTGCCAAGCATTATTCAAGACCATGCCGGCAAGAATTCAGGCGGTATTTAAGGCGAGAGGAGGCGATGTAACAAGTTATCAGTTAAGTTAAATTTTGTGGTGTCCAAATATTCAGTTGCAACATATTTTTGTAGTTTAGTTTTTTTTCTTAAAATTAATTATTCAGGAAAACAGATGCTATTATCGAAAATCCACAATTACTACCAATAAAAGTTTTCGGTACAAGTCTACAATCTTGTTCAGTTATTTTATAGGATAATTTGGACAAAATGTAAAGGTGTCCGGATATTCAGTTTGGGCTCGTATATTTCGTTAAAAAAAAACATTTGGATATCTCACGAAAAGGTGGAAAACCTAACATTTTTAGAGCAATTGAAAATTTAAATGCAATCAAACAAAAATCTAACACTTTACTATTATAGTGCCACAAATATCTGTATCTCACATTACGTGTATACCGAAGATTTATGCCGGATTAAGATTTAAGATTTCAGGATGAACCGATCTTCTAAATAAGTGGTATTGGATCAAGATTTGGATTTGTGGGTAATTTCACACCAAAGCAAATGCCGTGTCATAAAATAAGGTTGAAATAAGATGGTCTTAGACCTAATTCGATACAATATAAAAGCCTCATATTCAAGATTATCTAAATCCGAAATACATAAACGTCGTGAAATGATAAAAAAGAAACTTATTAACGATCAACGATAATGCGAAAATATTTACATGAAACCTGTTATTCAAGTACTAAATTCAAATTATTTCTATTTCCCCTTGAAATAAAGCGGAAATACAATAATTAATCTGTGTTCGCTTCATTATATCTATGATAAGATCAGGAAAACATTACCGACTAATTTAGAAAAAAGAAGCGGTTTGTGCTTATCGCCTGAAATAGGTGAACGAATTTCAACACTTACCCTGTGATGGGATGTTAGACGGACCTGGCCTGGGGTAGATGCCATTTACAGGGTGGGCGGTATTCTGGAACAAAGAAAAAACATATGAAAGCAATACTCATGTACTATCGTCAATGGGCAGCGCGACGCTTTGGATGGCTTTTGATACCTTAGTAATCTATTAAAACGACAAGCTCGATCTTCATTGTTGGCTTGTCTATGTGTGTTGATGAGAATTTGGCTATAGTCGAATCACCTACGAGGAGGTACCCAAAAATAATCGGAATAGCATTGCAGTGGGCGGAGCTTGTTTAGTACACACTTCTGCCCCTAGCGGCGTACAGCGCAACTCATTACCAGTTCAGTGCCTCCTGAGTTGTCGATCTGGCTTGTTTCGTTCCCCTGTATGTAACGGTTTCACCGTCCGATCGTATTTATTAAATCACTTCTCGATTATCATTTCATTAATCCCATCTCTAGCTTTTTTGCTTGGAAAATTTTCCGCTTGGAGCGCTTGATGCGGAGTTCCTGATCTGCGATCTTCCTCGCGCTTCCTTTTCACTTGAGCCGCCGATCGAACAACGGCTAGAAATTTCTTCTCAGTAGCACAAGGTTATATAGCACCATGTGCTAGAATTTTCTAGAATGTGTGTCCGTATAGGACAAAAATGATTGGGGCCACCTCCTTTCTCTTTCCCTTTCACTTTGCCTAGCCTTGGCCAATATTTTCACCCATGCATGTACCTTGGCAGCGCCATCGCCTTTAACTTCGCCTACAACTGGTTGTGAAGCCACTATATGGAGGTCACCCCTCATAACTGGGACCTCCCCTTCAAGCCCCTGGCCATCCTGGCTTCAGTCGAGTAAAAATGGACCAGCGAAAGATAAGTCGATAGCGTTATGGCAGCGCCAAAGATGTAAAACTTATTTTGTTATTTTTGTAAAATTGTAATGTAATGAAAATGCCTTTTTTTTGTTAAATAAAATCTGTTAAATTTTTGTGTTCTGTTTGTTCTTCTATCCTCTAGCCATGCCATGGTCGACACACAGCTACACGCTTGTAGATGTCTTCATGCCACCGACTGAGCTACCGGAAGCTAATGGTAACCCCCTTTCTGTGATTGTGCAGAAAAGTTGGAATCTTCATTGCATTCCATCTTTTCTGGACTTTTTGCGGAAAGGAAGCGTTACATGTAGACATTATTTTTGCTAGAGCTGTTTCGTGCTTGTTTCGTTTTTTACGGTGGCAAGTTTCAGTGAGCAACGTGCAGCTGTGAAATGTTGCTTTCTAATTGGTAGCAATTCTGCTCAAACTGTTTAAATGTTGAAAATAGCTTAGAAAGATAATGCTATGGAAAAAAATCAGGTGTACGAGTGGTTTGCTTAAGACGATTGCGAAACAGTGTTCGGCAAAAAAAAAAGATTTGTGGCAGTCAGGAGACTGGTTCTTCCACCATGATAATGCACCTGCGTACACAGCCATCCCTGTTCGACAGTTTCTGGCTAAAAATGGCATGGTTCCGCTGCCTCCTGCACCTTATTCGCCTGACCTGGCTCCGTGCGACTTTTTCTTAGTTCCACGGATAAAAAGTGGCATGAAAGGATGCCGCTTTGACGACATGAAAGAGGTCAAGAAAAAACGAGGGCGGAGCTGTTAGACGTTTCTAAGGAAGACTTCAAAAAACGTTTCGAGCAGTGGAAGCACAGGTGGGACAAGTGTATTGGTTGTAGTGGACAGTATTTTGAAGGAGATAAGGCTACTTTGTGAAAAAGTTGAAAATAAATAGCTTTTAAAAAACAATTCCGTTTTTTTTGGGTACCCCCTCGAATATATACACACAAAAGCCATAGTAAAGGTAGAGCATATATTATGCAAACTAATAATAGTGCAATCGTATGCACAACCAACAGAGGGCCAACCATGTTTATTGGCAATCATCAGCACGTTCTAGAAGTTTCTTAAGTTATGTGAAAAATCATATTCAGTGACACCTAGTAAACATTTTTATTCCAATGGATATTTTTTATGCAGTTAGACATGATCAAGAGGAAATAGGGATTATATTTTAATGTGTATCGCTGGATTTCCCTAATATAGTGTTGGGTAACCGCAATGCCGTATACATTCGTCCAGTCGTTGGGGTGTCCTTCTGATGAGGTGATTTGTCTTTTTGAGGTATCTCATCTCAAGCTACGAGGGCAATTTTTAAGGGCCGTATCGCCAGTCGTTCCTACAATTGTAGGACACCTTTATGGCCTCCTTGATTTTCATAGTGTTTTCTCTCTCGTCAATAAGGCTGGGGTATTTTTAGATTTCGACTGTTCCGTGTCATTGTCCTGTTCCTATTGTGAGGCTATGTTTACTTTTTGAATTGTAGGAAATTTGTCTATTTTTCTTTTTTGCTGGCGGGGATATCTATCTGACACTCGCAGGGTTGCCAAGTCTAACGAGAATCACGTCCCGTGTTGGAGGGTGCGAAATGAATCTTTTACATTTGCTGGTTTTGAATTTTTTTCGTGAAAATTTACTAGGTATCATGATTATAAGCATCTTTGGTAGATTGTTCGATCCGGAATAGGAAATATCTCCTATTTATGAAAATATTTTTGGTATCATCTAACCGTTGCAATCAGTGCACAAACACTGTGACATGATTTATAGCATAACCCGCTGCCCTATCAATACAAATTTAACATACAGGTCGCCTAGCCGTGGGGATGCAGTGGTCGGGATGAATATCACGGCAGCAACTGATGATTTTGGCATGTCTGGTAACAACGTATGAAGTGAAACTCGCTAACTTCACAAATTTGAAGATTCTGTACAATTTATTTGAAAATGATGAAAGATATGTCTGATTTGGCAGGGTAATGTCGCAGCCAAATGGCAGTCACTCGTGAAATGTATTGATACTTCTAAATATAGGATCGTATCGAACATCCCTACTGTCAAGATGTATAACCCAAGGTACCGGCGGAGCTATATTGCGGCGTCATGGAAATAATTTTAAATTTTCATTTGCATTTGTTCAAGTGTTGTGCAATGATTTTGGAAAAAATGTCACGAATAGTCTTATAAAGCATAGCAGAGTATATTTCAACAGTTGGCGGAACTTACTCCACTGGGACCAGGAGGGTGAAACGGGATATTAATGCACAATCTGGTAACCCTGTCGCATCCTCACAAAATGGCCGCTGATAACCACACAAGTCACCGTGTTGTCATTGAATAGCATGGAATTAAACCTTCAGAATATAATATGTTTTGTGACTGGTACCAAGAGTTGACAGATCCCACACATCTATCACTCCTTGAAATGTAATAATCAGCTGTATTCAAATAATGTCTAATATAAATATAACCTAGAATGTGTACTCGTGAAAAAAGAAAAATATGGCAAATTTGTAGTTTTTTTTGCAAGTTTTACGTTTGATGGTAGCTTTAAGGCGTATATTTGGGAATATATTAATCGCTGAGAATATAGTGTGGATGTTTGTTCAGTTCCTGAACAACGAAAAATATTCAACTTTATGGATGTATGGATATCAAAAAACCTGAATGGTTTTGTGGGAATATCAATCTAAGGTGCCATAATGGTTCTGATGAATGTTTGGAAACGAGCAATATCTTTTGGTAGAGCCTGTCATCAAGTAGGTGCTTAATGGATATCTGCAAGAGGTTTATAGGAAAAAACACCCAGTATCACATATCAATTGAAGAAAATAATATAAACATGAATAAAAAATCAACAATAGTAATTTAAACATGAATTTACTTCAAAAATCAAACATTTCTTAAAATTTTGACTGAATGATAGGTAATTTCTTAATATTCAATAAGCTGGTGATGTTTCAATGACAAGTTGTCATCTCATACTTTGACAGTATTTTGTTTTTAACATTTCATAGCTATTGGTTGCTAAAATTTGTTGATTGGAACTTGAAGCTCATTCGCTGTATCTGACGGTCTGTTACCCTATAGGTGGAGAATAACGGACTGTTGTTGGTGAAGTTGGCCCCTAGACTTTTTTCTCTGTGGCTAAGTTAAGTCGCTGGTTTTATGGCAACAAACTAACGACAATGCACCAGCTGGAGAACAATGTCATTCAAACCACTGGTGAGATCCAGCCCGACGTGTGCAGCAGAGTTTTACAAAATTGGACCTCTCGGATCGAGTCCTGTGAACGAAGCCTAGGAGGCCATTTGAATGATATAATTTTTACAACGTAATGGTATTGACTGTACTTTGATACGCAATTAAATTTTCCATGATATGTCGCACACAACTCGTTTTATTCAGTTTGAAATTTCAGACACACTTAATGCCAAAACCCTTTATATTGGCGTATGGGCAGCCATATCAGACATTTCATGTATCATCAAATTCAATTACTGAAGAAATACAAGGTATGTCGCAAAGTAAACAGGACTGTTGAAAGATATCCGATACATGTAGCGCCATCTGTTATCGGAGACTAGCGTTGGATAGGTACATCTTTCTTTGATGCCCTGACAAACTTTCATGACAATCGAACCACTTCGTGGCGGAGTTATCGCGCTCAAAGTGACAGTAGCGCCGGTCGTCAAATGAGCATCGAACAAAGAGAGGTATGAATAAAAACGAAGTAGATGCTTATACTACAATTTTAAGAATCTACTTCAAAGTAAATACTTCGCCATGAAGTATCCAATCAGTTCCGGTAGTATTTGCTTTACGTCGAAGTACTTACTATCGTGCCTGTAGTATCTACTTTTATTCTGAAGTAAATGCTTTAAATTGAGTAGCATCTTCTCATTTCCACAAGTTTCGACAGGTCACACTTGTTGTTTTATTTTATTTGAAATATTCACATACTTGGTATTGTACGGCACGCGCGTTAAAATGTATTCCGACGAGGAAATGCCAAATCAAGAAGAGTCCCAAAATGAAGATTTGCAGTTAGCCTTTGTTACGATGTTAGAAGACTACAAAATTATTCTGGATAAAAAAATGACACCTCCCGTTAAGTCTGCCAAAGACAAAGCACTTAAAGAATTCACAGAGACGTATAACAGAAATACAAAACAAAATTTAGATGCAAAACA